TTGCTTTCTGCCTCACGCGAGTTGTTCTAACTGAAACAGGCTGGCTTGAAATAAATCAGGCTGAAGCTTGGAGAGGAAAACTCAGCCTGGGACACAACCCTGTGCCTACAGGAGACAGCCATACATCATTTTGGATTCTAAATTTGCCACCCTTCACACACAGAGTCAAACTGACCTCTGTTTTATTATCATTTAATTAATTAGAGCAGCCTACGTGTAAGGGCTTAAAGGGAAAAAAAAAACCCACCAAACAAACAGCTTCCTTCTAATTGTGCTCTTCTTACTCTAGCTGGTCAGATGTCAGACTAAATTGAAAATGTTATAGAAAGAAAAATCAGTTTCTAATTTTTGTCTCAGCTTCCACAGGCTGAAGGAAATATGCTGTTCAAATGCAAATACTTAGTAAATGACAAGCTGTGAGGGTATTTTGTTCAGTGACCTATGAGTCAAGCCATGTCCAGATCCATAGTCATGAAGTGGATAATCATTTGAACCCATCCACAGGGAAGCCAAACCCACACATCTTCCCCCACCCCTCAGCAATGGTGTTTCAGAGATTTGTCACCTTGCAGGAACATCTGGGCAGGTGTTCCAGCTCCTGTCATTCCACTCTGCCCACCATGGCCAGCACCCTGGGACCTTGCACATGCCAGCACTAATTAAACAGCAGAACTACAAGTTTCATATTTGACTTCTCCTTCATTGTAGTTCTTCATCACAGAACACAACTAGAAAGTTCATACAATTGAAAGACAACAGGCTGTTGGAAATGCCATGTTATCTACCTGCCTATTGTTTTAACTCCAATGAAACTCTGAGTAAACTTTCTATTGAAAACATCCTCAAGTTCCCAGCACACCCAGCACAAGGATCAGCTCTGGAGATAGGACTCAGCTCACCAATTCTACTTGAAGTGTATTAAATCAATATCAGAGTCCAAAACTTCAGAAGGAAACAGCTCCCCAAAGCAAACATGTATTCTTTAACTCTGCAAGGGACTAGACCTATGCAGTGTCAATTACATATCTTTATAATTGCCTGATAATTGGACCCTGACACAGATGTTTCTCAGTCCCTTACATGCAAAAGCTGTGGCTTTAAGTGAGCTCCACCATGCTGATTTTGGCTTTTCTTTCCCTTTGGATTCTGCTGCAGTTTTATGTTCATCAAGGACTGAAGTTGGGAAAACATAGGCACTCCCTTACATATGAAGCTTTATTAAGTTGGGATCATGCTCCCTGTTGGCAGGCTGAGGAATAGAGAGACGGAGGGGAATGAAACCAAGAAGTGGGGGGAGAAAAACAGCAAAACAAAACCAAAACAAAACGAAGAAAAAACTTTCACTCCTCAGAGCAGGCACGCCTTCTTACTCCGGCTCCCGCTGCCGATCATTCATCCCGCTGCTCTCAGCTCCCAGCTAGTAAAGAGTCAACATCTCGCTCGTGTGAAAACATGAGTCACCCCACACCCCAGAAAACAGCCTGACAGGGACTCGGGAGGATCCCGTTTCTTAGGATGGGCTTGAGTTTTCACAGTGGAACTGAAACATCTTTGATTACAACAGCAGCAAGGTCAGCAGCGCTTTGAAGCCCCTCATTTCCATGGTGTGTGTGCATTACCTAACCCAGCACAGCCCCACCTTAACCCTTTCCTGCCCCGGCATCCACAGGCTGCGCGGGGAAGGTGCCCGAAGGCGCGGAGTGACTCCGTGTGCACATGTGCGTGTTTACAAGAGCGATGTGCTGGGCTGCGGGCTAGGTGCGCACATCCCAGCAGGGTTTGTCCGAGAACTCTGCGGCCCGGGAGGGATGGAGGGAGGGAGGGAGGGATGGAGGGAGGGGGAGTGCGCAGGAGCCGGGAGCTGCTCCGGGAGCCGCACCGCGGGAGCCGCTCCGAGGAGCGCAGCCCAGCCCCGACAGGGCTCCTGAGCTTTTGCGTAACGCAGATCAATGGGTCAGACTTCCAGTTTCCCAACAGCTTTCCCTCTGACAAATGCCAGAGCAGATATCAGCGGAGTCAAACAGGGCGGCAATAACATCGCTGCCAAGCAGCGTGAAAATTGGCAGAGCCTGGCACCAGGACTGCCTCTCATCAGACACAGGGCATGGCCCGGCACAATGACGAACCCACTTAACAGCGCTGTAAAATTAGCCATTTATGAAAACAAATTGAATACTGCAGCAGAGGGTGACGTAAGGAGAGTTGGCTCCAGACAGAAACTCCTGTAGCCTGGATTAGCAGAAGAACTCCGTTATGTCAGGGCTCAGGCGCAGGAGCTGATAACAACTTGGGTCCTACATGAGATTTTTAACAGACACAACAGGTTTCCCCTATAGGCACACAGGGGACTGCTCCTGAACCACTTGCAGTAATTTCTTACATGCCAAAGGAGAGTGGTGCAAGGGGAGCAGTTGTCACGGGCAGAAAGTGGGGGGGCAGAAAATAGGGGAAGACACAAGAGCAACTCTGAAAAAGAGGTGTATTCCAGTCAATCCCAGCCCTTCCCTCAGATCTCTACAGCCACACAGCTTCCCAATTTACAACTGGGACGAAAGTTGGGGGGAAATTCACTTCTGGCACTGCCAGCAAATGTGCCCCAGTCCCTTCCCCTCCAAACACCCAGATGGGCTTTTGATTTCAGTGGGGTCCCACAGATGCAAATGCAACAGCAGAACTGAGCTCCTCAGTCTGTCACATCCCAAAACAGTGAGAATGTGAAAGCCAAGAGTTTTGGCAGCCAGAACCCTTGATTTCCTCATTGAGGGAAGCGTAATCTCTCCCTAAGCTTGCTGCAGGTCTGGGAGGCTGTGGTGTGCAGAGGATACTCCAAGTGAGTTCCTCTTGGACCTCTTCCAGGTGTTTACACACAGAGCCAAACCTGGCTCCTCTTCAAGAGTGTGTGCGAGGGGGGCAGGGGGAGCTTAAAAATAAAATAAAAATCACAAAGTCCTCCTGAGCTGAGCTGAAGCTCTACGGTGCAAAACTGGGGCATTTCTCTTCATTTTTCACAGTGGAATGTTATTTCCATGCATAAAATGGGTCAAGTGTTTTATACAGGCAACAACCTAACCTCCCCCATCCAATTAAAGTATTTTACTACAAATGATCTTTGTGTGTGTTTGTCTAGGTTCCCTGTCGTGAGAATTAGAGATACTTGCACCAAAGACAGACATGGGGTCCTAGGTGTTGGATTAAACACATTAAAAAATACCCTGACCCTCTTTTGGTACCGATGAGATCTGTGTAAACCCCAATTCTGCCTTTCCCAACTTGAAAGGGAAGCACTTTGAGCCCTGGGGTTTAAGTTAGGGTTGGGAACCAGAAGAGCAGAGTGTGAGAAAGCCAGGGGGAATAAATCACGGAATGATGTGGTTCACCTATGAAATCACTGCTCTGAAGGCACACGGGACCAGCCCATGCCCGGCACCTCCTGCCCACCCCGGCACCCCCGCACAAGCGGCGTCTCCCTCCTCACAAGCGAGCGGAGCAGCTGCGATTAGGGAAAGTTAAGGAAAAGCACGGCTGAGTTCACCTCAGTTGCTTTTTTTTTTGTTTGTTTGTTTGTTTTCTTTAGGACAAAGCAACTTTCTTGCGAGGCGGCAGCCGCGCCGGTCAGGGCTGGGGCAGCGGAGCCGGGGATGTGGCAGCAGGGAGGGTGGCAGGGGACAGCGAGCGGGGCTGGCGGGGCAGCGGCGCCGCCGGCACAGGCAGCGCTGCCTCCTGCGAGGAAGTGACTCCACTTAAAGGGAAAGGGGAAATCCTCCCTGTCTCTTTAAGGCATCCTAGGACATGGAAACCTCGTACTTTCAGGGAATCTCCTCGCCAGAAGGACTGTAAAACATGTCTTCCCCCCGCCCCCCAATACCCGTTTCTCTTTCTGACTTGTTTCCTTTTTTTTTTTTCTTTTTTTTTTTTTTTAAGGGCATTTCCATTTTCTATGACTTCCTTCAGAGCAAAGATGGATGTGGCGACATTTATAAGGGTTTGTAACCCTCCGAAAAGTATCCGATTTCACGACAACTTCGCTGCACTTTATCACTAAAGCGAGGAAAGGGCGGGAGGTAGAGGGAGGGAGGGGGAGAGGGAGCGAACGCGGGGAGAGGGACCCAAATTCAGAATGGGCTCATAAAATTTAAATAAGAAAAGTGCAATGCTCCTTGTTATTGTCCAGCTCAGACAGCTTAGACTGGTAGCTGCTTTGAGTACTAAATGATTTTATAGGGCTGTTTGACCTTAGAATCATTGATGTTACACTTGCCATTTCTAAGGGGAGACAAAAATACTCCACACATCCTCTAGCTGCAGTGCGAGTCCCAGCCGTAGCTGAGTGTCGAGGGGTTGGGAACTTTATAAACTCATTTGATTCATTTGAGGTTTCACAATAGCCAAAAAGTTCCTTTATAGCTTTTTGGAAACCACATGCTAACACTGCATCTAAAGAGCGAACAGTGGAGTACACTAAAAAGCCAATAAAACCAAGGAAATCGTAGGGGGACCTTAGATATGCGTTTCTTTGCAGCCACACACCAGTCACATACATTTCTTTCCATACATACAAACAAACCACTTTCAAATGCTCTACTTACAGTTTTCCAACCTGAAAATTAGACAAAACCCCACCGTAAGAGCTGCCTCTTCTACCTGCACCTCAACCCGCGCACCCAGCGAGACAGAAACCACCCCAGGGCACTGCCATTTCCCCTATGCAAAAGTTTACATAACTTTTCCTGCGAGCCTACACTTCCAGCCGGTCCGCAGAGCTCCGGGATCTCCCGGAATATCTGGCGGGGCGAAGGCGAGCCCGGCGTGCTGGCAGAGGCGCTGCCATCCATCCATCCATCCATCCATCCATCCACGCACGCATGCATCCATCCCCCGTGTGCCGCGGGGCACTCCCGCGGGGCTGGGTGTGCTCAGCCCGCTCCCGGACACACGCACGCCTCCAGCCGGCTCCCGGCACGGAGCGGGGATGCTGCAGCCACAGGCACGGCCAGACCTACCTGCAATGACAGCCGGAGATCTCTGTCCGCCTTCGGCTTTCAGCCACACTTGCAAAGTGAAGGCATCTCGGGGCAGCTCAACGTCTGCCTTCAGCCGCAGCTGATCACCTTGGCCACTGAAATAGAGCGCCCTGCTCGGGGTAAGGGACTCCTCTTCGTCCTTTACCTCCCGCTGTTGCCTCCTGCGGGGGACATGCCCAGGCTCCAGCCCAGCAGTGGAGCGCCTTCCTCGGGCTAACCTGGTGGCACAGGTGCCCGGGGCAGTGTGGAGGAGCTGGCGGCTGTGCCTGGTGTCCCTTCGTGCCCTGCGGGAGCGCTCGTCCATCCCACATTCGGGTCCACTGGCTAGGGCTGTACAGAGAAGCGCAAGAGGCAGCAGCAAACTCCAGAGCTGCATTTCCAATCTTCCCCCCCCTTCTCCCCTGCAAATCCTCCCGATCTGCCAGCTTTGGGCTCCTCCTTGCCTTGACTTTCTTCTCTTGTTCACCCTTCTTGGTATTTGCTCTTTTTATAACCCTTCTCAGTTGCTTTTTCTTTTCTTTTTTTCTTTTTCTTTCTTTCTTTTTCCTGCTTATAGATTTTTTTTCTCCTTAAAACAAATAAAAATCAAATAAATCAAAACTCCTTCTTGGTTGAAATGTATTTCTCTGTTCTTCCTTCTCTATCTGTCTTCTTCTCCTCTATTCCTCCACAGCTGGAACTCCTCTCTCTCTTCTTTTCTCTGCTGAATTTTCTTCCCTTTATTTTTTTTTCTTCTTAAAAAAAACACACACACACTCTCACACACACTCAAAACAAAACAAAAAACCAAAACAACCCCCCAGCTTTCTCCAAGACTCAGACCCACTGATTTCCCTCCCCCCAAAAGATGCTCTAATCTATTTATTTTTTTGGCCTCCTTTATAACATAAGCCACAACCCCCTCCTTTCCCCCAACCTCCCCCCCTCCCTTCTTCTCCACAAAATGAAAGAAAAGAGAAAAAGCCCCTCAGAAGATGAGTAAACAAGAATATGCTAATCTACTCTAGGGTGCTCCACCTTCCCAATTGAATGATTCCCATTAAAACTGCAGGGATCATGACTAATCAATCAGCTTGAAGGAGCAGATAGCTCCAGAGGTTCAAACACTTTTGCTGTTTTCCTTTTCCCCCCTTCTTTTCCTCTCTTCCTCTCTATCCCCCTATCACTTCTCCCCCCCTTATTTATTTTTTAAAGAAGACAATCAGGATGAATGGATCAATGTGACAAAAATCCTGCACCCCCCTTTTTGCAATCTCCCCAGCTTTCTTTCTCAGTCCAGTCCAAAACACACATTCCTATTTTTTTTTTTTCTTGGCAAAAGAGAAAGCTATTTCTCCTCTCAGACTCCCCGTTGCACTTTGCTGGTAAACCTTATGCTCCTCTGCAGCACATAAAGAGTCTTGAAACTTGAGTCTCAGATATTTTTTTTAATTGCTTTCTTTCTTTCTCTCTTTTCCACTCTCTCTCTCTCTCTTTTTCTAATTCCTTCTTTTCCTCTTATTATTTTCTCAAAGTTATGCAATCAGCCAGGCTCCCCCTTTTGTGGTCCCCCTCAGTGCAGTTGTGTGCAGCTAATCCAAATGTTGCATCAAAGGTCCCCATCGAATCATCAGGAGCTAAAAGGAGAGAAGCTTTTTGAAGAGCATTTGCCTTCCAGAAGCTGTAGCAACAGAGTAGGATTTGGCTTTTGAGTGCTCCAAAGACTCCTGGGTTATTTTTTGGAAATAATAATTTAAAAAAAATCAAATTTTAATTTTATTTGTGGATTGAATCAAAAAATCTTCTCTCAATATTGCTAATTTTCAGCCTAATGAATTCTGGTCCCTGGTTTCCTTGGCTTGGTTGTAGCCACAGGTAAGCTCCTGGCTGCTTGCTGGTTTGTAGATCTCTGTTTCTGAGCTGGGACGTTTCTTTTTTTTTCCTCTTTTCTTTTTTTTTCTTTTTTTTTAAATATTTTTTTTTCACTCTTGAAAGATCTCAAAAGCTCCCCCTGATGGCAACAAAAAGGATTTTTCTAAGTCCTTAATCAGTGGAAATGACTTGGCAGTGGCACTCACGGACTGTCCGGGCCACTGCTCTCCTCTGAAGAAATCCAGTAAAAGCAAGTTAAATCACACCAACCCCGGTCACAAACCACTCCCATCATCCTCTTCTTCCATCTCTAAATTGATTCTCACATCTTACTTTCCTATATATTTACAACAGGAATCATGCACCAGAGTTTTCCTGGGACTGGCATCTCTCTGCTTCTGCAGGCTCTTCTGTTAACATAGCTTAGTTCTGACAACTTCCACTTAAAATGCACATTATAACAGTAGTGAAAATCATTTTTTCCAATGAGAAAGGGCTGTTGCATGCTCACAAGTCTTCAAAAAAAAAAGTTATTTTTAAGTTTCTTGTTAATTTGAACACTCCATGATACATGACTGGCATTTTCAGTGGTGCTGGGTTTATCCACAAAATCCCAGCAGAAGTCAACCAGCAGCACAGCCTTAGAGCCCCTCTCTATTCTCCAGCCCATCCCTCCACCACAGCTCTTCCTACAAAAAAGACAAAATACTGGGAGCATCTACAAAGTTTATAATACAAGACCTCCAAGCCATTAAGCCTCTCAACAGCTGAGAGGAAATGTTTAACTGGGAAATAAACGGTACAAACTCCTATAAATGTCCTGAAGAACTCTCAGGGATATGAAAAAGACACTTCTCTCTCTGTGCCTGTTTGGCAGAAACAATTTAAGATCCCAGCTAAGTGCTGCACTGCACTGCTCTAACTTAGCTCGTAGAGGACACTGCAAACCAACCAAAAAATCCAGAAGTTTAAAGTGAACCTGTTCAACTTCAGCAGGAGCTAAACCAGGAGGAATCCTGCTGCCAGGACACTGCTTTCTTCATATGACGACTCCTCTGAGGTCCCTGGGACCTCTGCACATGTCAAGGCTGGAAGAGCAGGCTCTTAAAATAATGCTGGTTCCACTTTTTCCAGGAGAAAAAGCTAATTCTGTGAAATCGTGGTGTTTCTTAGGGACATCACGATTTGGCTGAGATCATCAAGGAAAATTACTGAAACACTTCAATTTGATAGCACTGCACCATTTAATTTTGGACATACTTGACCTTCTGTCTCTTACAAAAGGGTTTCACTGTGACCAAATCACACTTCAATGCATCAGCCTGCAGCTCCAGTGACAAATTCTGGGATATTCTTGCTGCAGAGGAAAAGCCCAGAGCTCTGCTTCCTGTACTTATGGAAGACAGAAAAAAAGTATGGAAAGATGGGATTTACCTCTAGCCCACAAATTACATCTTCAAGCAGTTCTATTCCGACGACATAGTGAAAGCATAGAGAAAATGTAATATATAAATTCTAGATGTGATAGAAAATGAAGTGGAAGAGATTTGATTTTAGCAATAGTGAGTAAATCTTGGATTCCTTAAGTCTGTGGGTCAAATCTAACTTCCCTGACCAGATGAAATTCTCCTCTGCACAGATGGACATTTATTCTCTGCTTAAGCCAGTACTTAAATGATGTACAGACCTGGCAGAGAAGTTCCTGCCCAAGGAGAATAATCCAACTGCTGCACCTGAGTGCAAAATTCTCCTCAGGAAAGGGAGAGGGAGATTGTCTTGCATCAAGAGGTATTTTCATGAGAAAAAGGAAAAAAAAAAAAAAAGCATCTAACCCTAGTTACACATATAGAGAGAAGAATTAGAATAGATATTTATGACACTATGCCAAAAAATAGCATTGAGCTAAATGCTGTATGCAGTCATTATAAGGAGAAATACTCAGCAGGAATCTTAGCTGAAGCTGCCAATAACTCCCAGGTTCAAGACTGGAGCTGAGTGAATAAATCATAACAAATAATGGTTTTGTCAAATTTCGACTTTTTCCCCTCCTATTTGCAAGTAGACTGCGAAACCTCTCAAATATGTTTGAAATTACATGGCCATTTCTTCCTCATCGTTAGTATTTCTCTGAGGCCAATTAGCACACAATTTGCTGTAATGTACACATTTTCACATTTGTTCTGTGTTAATTGGGCAAGGAAGTCACACAGCATTATTTTTGGCTCCCTGGGGGGTCAGGTTTAATCACTCATGATACAGTAAAATTACTAATTTTACATACGATGGGAGTTTCCATGCTTGAAACTCTCCTTGCGAAAAGCGGCGCTGGCTCTTCAAATTACTCACACGAAGGTCAATTAAAAACAATATTTCTTGAAAGTTGAGCTGAAAAGTCTGCCAGATACAACTGAATTGAGGCCCTACTATTCTGGGTAAGTATTTGTGCATATTTGTCCTCTCCATGCACAACTCCATCAATCACAGCAGAGGTTTCACAGTCTTTACCCCTCACCGATATCCCAATCAAGTCTCTCCCAACTTGGCTTGGGTTAAGGATGGCTGGAACACCATCCAACAGCTACTCTGCTCAGAATCAGACAGGGCCCAGACACCAGATTTTAACACAACGTGTTGGATTCAGGGCATATTTTATGCAATCAGCAATGGTATGATCGGAATCACGCTGCCTCCACAGAACAGCATGGAATGAAACCCAAAGAGCTGAGAAAAGCTTCAAAGAAAAGGGGATTTGGGCACCCTGGCTTGTGAATCCCATGAAGTCCAGCACCTTTTAGGAGAAATAGAGTTACTTGCTCGGTGACATAGTGGTGGTGCAGGGGTTGCAGTGGGTGGAGTGAGGCCACAGCTCCTCGTGAGCCTGAGGAAACACTAATGAATGAAATGGTAATAACTTTAAAAAAAAACAACAGTGAAAACATGTGAAGCATGCTCTGTCTTGGAAAAGACTTAACAGAAGACCTAATGTGGACTCAGTGTAAATCCACCAGATTTTTCTTTGTTTTCTCTATCTGTCATTCCTCTTCTTGTTTTAAACAGAGTGATTAAAAGTCTGTGTTCTGCCTCCACTGTCGCACTCCGTACTGATAACAATCCTGATTTCAAGGATTTATAACTATTGCCTGCACACTCATCATTGCACACAACTCCACTCACTTGAAATCACAACACCAGCTCTGTGTTGCCTTTATTAGTGGATAAGAGACTCTTCTGCTGCTGGTCCCTCGGCTGCCCCTTATGTAAAATACTCTGTTAATTTACATCAATAAAACAGCCCCATGTCAATTTGAAAGACACCCTTTAATCCAGAAAAGTTTACTGAACAATTAAGAAGTGCAATAAATGACAATCAAGACTAAACGCATAATTGATGACTTTATGAAGGTTTCAGTAATTTTATAAGGTAATTTGCAGTCAGTGGCTATAAATTCCTATTTAAACCTGGCATACCACTCTTTTTTGCCCTGCAGAGAGCTGTATTTCCTAACAATACTGATGCCTGTTTGCCTGGAATTCAGTTACTTTAGCCTTCAAATTTCCCTTATGAAATATTGTATTTCCAGAAAAAGTTATATATTCTTTGTATTTTTTTCACCACATTCTTGAAATACATTCTGGGGGGTGGGGCAAAAATCTCTGTTCTACACTGTGGTGAGAGTGATAAGCCACAGTAGATGATGCAAGCAAAGGGCCACAATCTTCAATTAGACCATATAAATGCTGATTAAATTAGCTGACTCATTTTGATTTGGACTGAGTATTCTAATTCTAGGTGCTCAGGATGGGCTGTCCAGGTGAAATCCTGGCACTGAAATCCTGCCCTGATTGAAATCCTTGCTCAGGCATGAAGAGGGTAAAACTGTGACCTCACCTGCATGGTGCCACTCCAAGGCCATGTCCCTGCGACCCAAAACATGCTCATGAGGATGCTC